TTTGAATTCCAGCTTTCATTATTGTCTCACTCAGTCACTCCATCACGCGTACATACGTACGGTTCAAAGTCAGTGACGAATTCAGAATTTTGCATGTTACAGACATAATTATGTAACTAAAAATATAACGTAAAATTTAACATGATATTGAAGCTGACAAGGATCATGAGTTTGAATTTAATTGTCATCTATTATTTGAGAAATTTATTTCTATTATGTTGAAACATTAGATTATGCAAATCCTTTTATCCCCTAGCTAAATCACAATTCAATGGATTGTGAATCCTATACTTATTTTTAGCACATATATGTAAGTTTTAACTTTGAAACACTAGGTTATTGTCACACCTCCTTTTGCGCGCCTAGCCACGAATGGTTAAATGCGCGAGGGAAGTTTTTCCAATTTAAGTGACAATATTCGAAATGAGATTATTTATTTAATTTAGAGTCGCCACTTGGGAAAGGTTTGGCTTTTGGTGTCCCAAGTCACCGGTTTATCTTGAATACCAAATCGAGGAAACTTTTCGACTTTCCAAATGAAGTCTGCGAACCAGAAATTCTAAGTAAGGAATTCTGTTGACCCGAGGGAAGGTGTTAGGCACCCTCGAATCCCGTGGTTCTAGCACGGTCGCTTAAATTGTTATAATGGATAACTATCTGATTTAAATACATATTATGACTTATGTGCTTTTATCAAGTTTAAACTGCTTTTATTATTATCATTTATTTTTATAGAATTGCAACGTCGTGAAAATGCATCTCGAACCCCGTCACAATCAATGCACCCGTAGTTGTTAACACATTTCGACTCCGTTGAGATTTGAATTTGGGTCACATAAATGCGCACCCGAATTTAAGAATGTAATTTAATTAAGTTGCGCCTAAAGAGTCTAACGCATTATTATCTTTGGGGAAGGCAGTGAAATTCACTAAACAGTCCATCCCAAATTCTAAGTATTTATCATGATCGGTTATTGAGGGCCCCGCAATTTACATTTTATTTGGCGAGGCTCGTCTCATTATTTTTTTTAAAAAAAAAGATTAGCCTACAATGACTACATTTTCTATTATGTTTGTCTCTAAAAAATGGAAGAAAGAAAATACATGCTAATTGAATTACATGCTTGGCCAATTCTGGCCTCTTATTAGTTATTGGATTAATTCTCTGCGAGGTGGGGAATTTTGTGCCTTATTGAACATGCTTTCAATTTGATAAAAGAAATTGCATACAAGGCAAATAGCATGTTAAGCTCACCCTAGACATCTTTCAAGTTTAAATTTAACTAACTTATTTAAACTAGATTAATAGAATTGATTACTAGAAGCTACTACCAATGGGATTCGGACGTGGTCCTATAAACTGCCTAACGAAACCCAATTTGATAGAGTTAGTTTAAATTACTCAGACTTATGATGCGTCTTTTGCCGAATTAAAAGCATCCTGCCTTACATGTTTAAAATAAAGATAGAAGCTGAGATTTAAATGCCAATATACTAAGCACATGCGCACTCTACGTCATACAGACAACTGAATAACTAAAATCAATAGTGTTAAATAAAATAAAGCTTCTATTAAGTACACACTGCGTAATGTATTTTTTTCTATTGAGCTACAAACTAAAAATTACACAAATCTAAACACATTTAAAAAAAAAGCTGTAAGTGCAGCAGCCGATGATTAAAACTTCTTTGCATCTTTCATTTCATGCTTTTAACTGTTACATCAGTATGAGATTCAAATGTGTACCTGGAAAGTGCTTACAATTGAAGAGGCAGAAAAGTCAGTAGAGCAGTAGTAGCATACACCAAGCAGCAGTACAACAGGACTTAGTAAAACCAATAGTAACAGCAGCAGGAATTTCCAGGAAAGAATAGAACCCAAAGAAGAAGGTAGTAGCTTGAAAAGTAGTGCTTGAAAACTCAACAGACAACTAGGCTGCCCGATAAATCCCACAGTACAAGAAGATTACTAAGATTGCAAGTAGGGACAATAAAACAGTAATTTCTGATTTTGAATTTCTGAGCAGAAGACAAAACTGAAGTTCTTTGTTGTGAAGCCTAAACTTTTAACACACTAAGACCCTGGAAAATTCTTCTTTATGGTTCTTAAAACTCTTGCTCTCTTTCTGATTTCAGCACCCTTTCTTTTCTGATTTTTTAGAAACTATCTCCTATTTTTAGAACTATCTCTTTCTGATTTTCAGAACTAATGCCCTGAACTCTCTAATGTCTCCCTTTTTTTTTTCTTTTTAGCTTGTGTCCTCCTCTATTTATCCTAGCATCAGCCCATTCAAAACAGTCTGTTAGACCATTCAAACCCCCTCCCATGTTCTCCTGCTGTTTTTCCACTCAAAGATAAAATAAAACCCTTCCCATGAGATTCCCCTGACAAAAACTATTTTCATTATTAAAATGCCTTATCATTTTATTAAACTAAACCAAACATGGGCAGCAGGAATATATCCTGACAGCACATGCTGTCCAATTGACCCTAATTCATTAAAGAACTACAAATTGCCATGCTTTTCTAATTTCCTGCCATTAAAAGCACTCAATATGTCATTAATTCCACTATTGGTCAATTAATTCCATTAGTTGAATCAATGTTTTAGTACCTTATTGTCAGCTCACTTGCCTTTAAGCATTTCAGAATTTTATAACCCCAAACCAAACCTTTTAAAACCCCTGACCATTACTGTTTTATCCCAACTTCAACAAAAAATGAAATTCTGAACTTATGGGAGTTCAAATTCAACAACTATCCTAACTGAATTCCAACTATTGTATTATAGCTAACAAACCATTCACAGATAGTTTCAAACAACCAGCTAATCGACAATGGTTCGATCAAATCATATGAAGTTATCAGGAATAAGGGCATTTGAACATTCAGTCATATAAAACTAATCGACGACGTTTATCTAATAGACTATACTAATTATAATGTAGAACAATCAGTCGATTAAACAAATAATACAAATAGGGCATGAACTGTTCTTGACAATTTTGCACGATACAGGGAAAAGCCAGGCATTATTGATTCGACGATGTTAATCATATTGAAATATGTATACTACTATACGGATTCAACATAACAGAATAAACAATCGACCAAATAGGTCGGGTTAAGTAATGGGTAAGGGAGATAGGACGAGGGCCGTCAGATCGACCTGGTTTGAACGGCTGAGATGGGTTGTCCTTGAAACGACGTAGTTTTGGTGTCAAACTACGTCGTTTTGGTGGCCTGGGAGGTGGGTCACTTGGACCGGCTGCCTTGGGCTGCTTTTGGGCCTCAAATTTTAAAAAGAAAACAGGCCCAATCCGATTTTTAAACCAATTTGCACTCTTTTCTTTTATTTTCTAATTTTAAAACACAAAACCTAATTAAAAATGAAATTAAACACCCATTAATTAGAACTTAACACAATTATCACACATATATTAAAATATTTAAATAGGTAAAATCACACCATGGCGACAAATAGAATAAAAGATGCATATTTTTTGTGATTTTTCTTTTAATAACCGAATTATGGTGTAATTTCACACGACATATATTTTTTGTATTTTTGTTTGATAAGATTAAATAAGAATGGACAAAACCACAAATAACTTCCAAAAATGCCACATAAATTCCAAAATCGTACAACAAGATCATTTGTTATTTTTTGATTTCTTTTGAAGTGATTGTCGCGTAAACAAAAATCACGTGCTCACAGTTATACTGTATGTTATTGTCTGAACCCATAGCTGAATGTATTATTGTCTGAAATTAGTTTTAGTGAAATGTATTGTTTTTATGTGGAAGAATTGTGTACGTGCAAGCATGCACGCACGTGAATGCCACACAGTACGTACGTAGATAAGTTGACTTCATTAAATTCTATCATTCGTTTACTTACTCTCATTAATTAATTTTGCTGCTGTCTTTCTACGTATCTTGCCTTCTATAGGTAACCAAATTAGGTTAAGGATTTAAGTTAAAACTTAATAGGAATGTATATTTCCCCCCTTCATTTACGCCTTTACTCTTCATAGCACTAATTGTACAAAATGTACGCAACTTGAACTTGTTAATCTCAAAATTAGTCATATATAACTTTTTCAAAATAACACATTGAAGTTAGTCATACATACCTTTTCAGATATTTCAAAAGTTGGTCAACAAGAGTGTAATGCATGTAAATTATTATTCGGGCAATTTTCAACTTATTGACAATCTGATAAACTAAGAATTTTCTTTTTGTTTCACTTTCTTACTCTTACATGCTCATAATAAGTTATAGTTAATGGTTTGATACAATTTTTTTACTTGTGTAATGTAAAATCGGCAACATTCATATTTTGGAGATCAATTTGTACTATAACTTCAAATAAAATTTATCCAATCATACAGAAGAAACAACAGTTTTAGAGCAAGGTAAAGTTGTCTTCATATAATATACAGGTCACAAGTTCGAGTCGTGAAATTGATCAATAACCCTTGCATCATGATAGGCTGCCTAGGGAGTGTAATACTTCTTTAGATCCTAAGTAAACACAGAATAATTACTCCCTCCGTTCACTTTTACTTGTTCACTATAGACTTTGCACCCGTTAAGAAATAATAAATAATGTAGGTAATTTACCATGATATCCAAATTAATTGATGCATATTTTTAATAAATTTGAGAAAATAATTTGAAATGAGTAATTAATACTGTGGATATAAGAGGGAAAAAGAAATTGTCTTCTCTTAATATGCTAAAAGTGGCAATTAAAAATAAAAATCTATTTTTAGAATATCGGACAAGCAAAAGTAAATGAAGAAAGTTCCTTTTTATACAGAAAAAATGACAAATAAAAATAAATGTCTAACCATACTAGAATGTTAGATAAGAAAAAGAAAATTAAGAAATTAAGTTGAGCTATTTGAATTTTCAAAGATTAGTTCGCGGTGAAGTGAAGTTTAGTCTAAATCCAAACAAATTAACTAGGGATATTAACCGGACAAACAGAAATGGTAGTACTACAGTAATCTTCTCAATACTGTACTTTTTTTCTTCTTCTTAGCACTGTATTATTACCACTGCTAAAATTGATAAATTAATACGTACGGAGTATGTAAAATTCAATGCGCATCCATTTTTTGATTCCTCAATCTTCATCATCATTAATAGGTCTGCATCTTCTTCACCAAAAGCTCGAATCCTTTTTTGTTTCTTTTTTCAGATTCTGAATTTCAAAAATTTAGAATAATCCATCCATGGAATCACCAGAAAAAAACGACGCCGTTGCATTTGAGTCAGCTGAGAAGATAATTCTCCGGTGGGATTCAACGGTATCTGAAGAAGCTAGAGAGAAGATGATATTCAACGGCGATCGTCACGAGATCGATCGCTATTTAGAAGCCGTTGATGAAATCCAACGGTCAATGGAGTCCACCACGCTCTCCGTCTCCGACGACCACGATAAAGCCAACACTGCGATCCAGATCGCCATGGCTCGTCTCGAGGACGAGTTCCGCAACATACTCATTGCTCACACGAACGCAATCGAAGCCGAATCATTAACTGATCCAAGTCTTTCAGAAGAAGACTGCCGCGATACTCCACGCGCCGGCGACGATGATTCGTTCAGCAAAGAGCTGGAAAAACAAGAGAGTAGCACCAGCAGCAGTTATCGATCTACTAACAGTATCCGCGAAGTCGATCTCATGCCGTCAGAAGCAATATACGATCTCCGGTGTATCGCGGAGCGTATGATTTCAGCTGGATATCTCCGGGAGTGTATTCAGGTGTATGGCAGTGTACGCAAGTCTGCTGTGGACTCGAGCTTCCGGAAGCTTGGAATAGAGAAGCTGAGCATAGGAGATATACAGAGACTTGATTGGGAGACCCTTGAAGCTAAGATTCGTAGATGGATACGAGCAGCAAAAGTATGCGTTCGCACACTTTTCGCCAGCGAGAAGAAGCTCTGCGAGCAAATCTTTGAAGGTTTGGGGACGGCAACGGATGATGCTTGCTTTATGGAGACTATTAAAGGTCCAGCTATTCAGCTGTTCAATTTTGCCGAAGCCATTAGCATTAGCAGGCGATCGCCTGAAAAGTTGTTTAAGATATTAGATCTTCATGATGCTTTATCGGATTTATTAACTGATATTGAAATTGTTTTCGAGTCAAAATCTTCGGAGTCAATTAGAGTTCAGGCAGTAGAGATATTGTCTAGGTTAGGGGAGGCTGCTAGAGGGATATTATCGGAATTTGAGAATGCAGTGCTTCGTGAACCTTCTAGGGTTCCTGTCCCCGGAGGGACAATTCATCCCTTAACTAGGTATGTCATGAACTATATAAGTTTAATCTCGGATTATAAGCAGACGATGGTTGAGTTGATTGTTTCAAAGCCTTCAACGGGATCAAGGTATTCGAGTGATCCTAATACACCTGATATGGATTTTAGTGAGCTAGAAGGGCAAACCCCGTTGGCGCTTCATTTGATTTGGATTATCGTCATTTTGCAGTTCAATTTGGATGGTAAGTCTAAGCACTATAAGGATACCTCTTTGGCTCATTTGTTTATGATGAATAATGTCCATTATATTGTTGAGAAGATTAAAGGATCACCTGAGTTAAGAGAGATGATTGGGGATGATTACTTGAGAAAGTTAACTGGGAAATTCCGGCAAGCTGCTGTCAATTACCAGAGAGCAACATGGGTGAGGGTTTTGCATTGTTTGAGAGATGAGGGATTACACGTGAGTGGGAGTTTTTCATCCGGGGTGTCCAAGAGTGCATTGAGAGAGAGGTTTAAGGCATTCAACGCCTTGTTTGAAGAGGTTCACAGGACTCAGTCCGTGTGGTTGATACCAGATACGCAGCTCAAGGAGGAGCTGCAAATTTCCATATCCGAAAAGTTAATCCCAGCATATAGATCATTTCTTGGACGGTTCAGGAGCCATATAGAAAGTGGGAGGCATCCGGAAAATTATATAAAGTATTCTGTGGAGGATTTAGAGAATGCTGTCTTGGATTTCTTTGAGGGGTACGCTGTATCACAGCACTTGCGGAGAAGATCTCAGTGAAAGAATACAAGTTTCACCATTTAGTACTTTAGGACATTCTTTTGAATTTTTTCATGGAGTCATTCAGGGGCTGAGGTTCTGACATTTTGGTGTTTCTCGAGTTTGTGCATTCATTTGTAGTATTCCAGCGTGATGCGCTGCTGAAGACTTCGGGAAGATCAGCTGTATCTATCAAGAAGGGTCAATCCCTCCAGCCTCTGGATGCTCTGCCCTGTAAGCATGGTGTTGTTGTATTTCTTCCATACTTTTAGATTTTATCTTAATTTGTCCATATCTGAATTGTTGTATTGGTTCACTTTCTTGAAAATTTTATCATAATCATGGTTTTATTAACTTGAGTCCAGAATTTAGTTTAGTCTCGATGACTTTGCACTATAAGGGATGTTTTTCTTAGGGATGTCCTCTCCTATATCAAGAATGTGATTGAACTTCCGATGAACGCAAGAGCTTTGGAGACACAAAGATAAATAAAACCACAGGTCTTAAGAATTCGAAGACAATTTCGCGTATTTGCTTACTGCTTTCTTCTTATTGTTTGCAAGTCTTTCTCAGTGACGTGAAAGAATTCTCCATGAATTTTCAATCATTACACTGAAAACGCATGACTAGTTGTCTACTGCTTGATATATGGGCGTGCTGATTCCTCGATGTTTTGTTTATACTTATTTTGTTTTCCCATCTAAGACGACTGGTGCAGTGGTGCTTAGTTAGCTGTCTTTGGATAAGCTAATACTAATTAGTTTTACTGACATGATTTTCTCAATCGTGGAATGGTTGAACTGGACATGTATCATGAATACTCTTCAGATGTTGCAGCACATCAACAACAACAAAGGCTCTTTCCAAATAGATCCCCGACATTCTTCCGGCCAAGAACTTCCCACCTTGCTCTTGGGGAGACTCGAACTCACAACCTCTTGGTTGGAAGGGGAGGTTGCTTACCATCAGAGCAACCCCTCTTGTCGCCAAATGTGCGCCAAATGTTTCATCTCTATGTGGCCTCTGTTTGAAACTTTGAAGTCTACTACATCTGACAGCAGAACTTAGAAGGTGTACATTCCTACGTCACAATCTTCCTGTTACCTCTTCACTCACCATGTATCACTGTTTCTAATTATCAGTTTCCAGTCAAGGTTGCACAATCTTTTTGTGGAGATACATGACATTTTCTGCCCTCTGCGAGTTAGTGTGATTGTTAATACCAACATTTAGGGTTTAGCTATTCATTGCCCATGCTTGCCTATTGGATCCAAATAGGATCTCGAATTCTTGTGTATTCTCGAATGTGGTAATCTGTGTCCAAAGTAGAAATCTCCCTCTACTCTTACCTAATTGCAGAAAATGTAGGATATTTACTGACAAAGATGTTCAATTGCGAATCTGTGCAAACGTCATTTGTTGATTGATTACTCTTAGAGCCTGTTTGGAAAGCCACCTAGAAATGAAATTCGGATGTAATTGGATGTAATTACACAAGTTGGTATGTTTGTCTAGCCAAGTAATTACTTAGTCAGCATGAAATTAGGTGTAATTACACTCCCCAATTCTCAAGGGGAGGTGAGAATTGGTGGTAATTACACTGTGTAATTACAAAATTACTTTTTAATTTTTTCCTTTTTGTTTTTATTTAATTTATTTTATTTTATTTCCATTAATTTAATTTCTTTTTTAAAATTTTACTATTACTTTTTAATTTCTTATTAAATTTTAAAATATTTTATTTGCTCATATATTTTATTTCTTATTCGTTTTATTTTCTTCATTTAGCTTAAGTGCGTTATTATTTTAGTTTTTGAAACTATACAACAACAACAACAACGACCCAGTATAATCTCACAAGTGGGGTTTGGGGAGGGTAATATGTACGCAGACCTTACCCCTACCCCTACCCCGAAGGGTAGAGAGGCTGTTTCCAGGTTTTTGAAACTATACAACAACAACAACAACGACCCAGTATAATCTCACAAGTGGGGTTTGGGGAGGGTAATATGTACGCAGACCTTACCCCTACCCCTACCCCGAAGGGTAGAGAGGCTGTTTCCAGGTTTTTGAAACTATACCTCCTAATATTAGAAATAATGAGTCATTAACAAATGTGACATATAATGAGTAATGCCCTTAAAGTAGAATTTCGTTTATGAATGAGGTTATAAACTTATTATGTTTCCTATTCTTATGTGATATTAAAACTTGTTTTTATTATGTTGTTAAAATATATATTTTTTGAAATTTTGAAATTGTGATTCAAATTTACTTGTTTTAGTAGTATTGACTTGTTATTTCACATTGTATGTTGTTTATTTTTTAGTTAAAATTAATAGCTTAATTTTGTCAAATATTTCCATAATGTTATGATATTATATTTAATATTAATTTATTTTATCAAACATCCATTCCATGATATTCTTACAAAACGTATATTTTAGTTTTTATAATTAATAAACTTAAAATTATTAATTTAGAAAACATATCAATTATTTTTACAATATTAGTTATAAATATATGATTACTAATTAATGTATATTCAAGAAAAAATATGCATCTTAAATACCAAATCTAATATCATTTATACTGATAAAAAAAATTATTTATAGTCATATTTATTATATTAACTTTTAAGTTTTGATAATTATTTCATTTAAAATTTAATTTAACTATGTGACAATCAAACAGTACGCTTGTAATTACACTGTAATTATGTTACGGCAAACAAATAGATCATCATAATTATTAAGTTGTATAATTACTAAGTTGTATAATTACTACTCTGATAATTACTCCAATTTCAATTACCAATTGACTTTCCAAACAAACCCTTAGTTATCTTTTAGACCAAGATCCATATTTCTATCTTTACAACTTTAGCTGGTATTGCCTCTTTAAAGTACATCGTAAACTGGCCCTTCCCATTAATGATGAGTTAAGATGCAAGATCCTTTAAACCAAATTCTTGTGCCATGTTTAGGGACGTACATAGGTCAGGTTGGTTCGGATTTTACAATTATCAAATCAAATCAAATCAATTGTATTGTGTTATTAAATCTAAAGACCAAACCAAATCAATAAAAGTCGAGTATTTTAAAATTTAAACCTAGTACCATACTGAATACTAAAATATCGAATACCAAATGTCAAAATTTTTGATTTCGGTACGGTAATTCGATATTTATCAAATTATCCGCGGCCGTACTCGGAACCCATTGATCGTCGCGCACATTAAGGCTAGCTCCGCCTCTGACGTTGAGTGTGGATGTTGCCTATTTCTCTGACTTGGATTTAAAAGTGATAGGCGACCTAATAGTGTCTTTTTCAACCTAGGGAAACCGGATAGTATTTAAATTTGGAAGTTCAGCTAGTGTGACGCTTCATCTGCCATCTATCTGACCTATATTCGTCTTTTTCAATTCTCGTGGTCCTTATTTGTCAGTTTCGAAAAGAGCCTATGTGTTCCATTATTGAATGAGCTCCAAAGGTCGAAAAGGATCAGTTAATTAAAACATATTCCCAACTAATTGTCTTGCCTATAAAGATCTTTTTCTTCCCTGGATTCCAAGAAATTGTAGGCTGGGCTTTGAGATAACTTCATGCCATGCGAGATTAGGTCTATCTCATTCTCTTTTAACATCTTCATTTACCATGGTTTCACACCTACGGATTAGTGCAACTAGAGGTCAACACATGACATAACTAAATCATCTCGCATGATTGTGTGCTACTTGAACTTTCTGGCCAATGCGATCTTTTTTTTTATCTTGTTTAATCTTGTATGACCGCACATCCATTTTAACATTTACATTTCTGTGACGTTCATCTTGTGAATATGTTGGACTTTAGCCATTCAACATTAGCTAAATCATTGTATAGCATTGTTGGTCTTATAACTATTCTGTCAGTTCTTTCACGCTAAAACAAAATTGTTGCAAATATTTAAAAAGAAAAGAGTCAAAAAATAAATATAAAAATTGTATCAATACCTGTACTCCTGAAGGGTTTGCATGATTACCTAAAATCAATAGGGAAACTACCAGCTATGTTCATTTATATGTAGCTTATTATAAAAATTGGTCAATTCATAAAATATTCTTAATATTAGCCAATTAGTTATTTGTATCAAAAAAAAAAGTGAATTTTTTGCTTTCTTTTTGAGTGGGTGCTATTAGAATTGATTGAGTACATCTTAAGGAGCTTAAATCTCAGTTTTGGGATGAAAAGTATCAAAGTATTTATCATTTGTGTGTCACATATGCATCATATTTGTATCAAATTTGTATCACATGTATACCTGTGTGTGAGATACATGCGTGATACATGTATCGCAGAAAAAAATTTGAACTTGATTTTAACTACGAATTTTGATACCAAATCTGTCCAAATCACCTCTAATCTTCCTCAAATTCTGTATCTTGACCTATCTATATGTTTTTAATGAATTTCAATCATACCCACTGATAAAGGTCCTTTTTTGCTTAGATTTTTGGAATTTTGTATATATATATTTTTGTATTTTATCACCTTATTTGCTATTTCATTCATGAAATTTCCTTTCCTTCTTGCATCTAATGTTGCTAAACGCGTTTAAAAATATTGAAGGAGATCTTTGCGTGTGATTCTTGAAGAGAAAGAACCTTATTTATTTGGGTTTTCAATTTTTATATGTGTTTGGCTAGTTTGGTAAGTATATGATTAATGACTAGGTGTTAATAAGTTTGGACTTATTTGTGACATTTATGTAAGATTCCCAAATCAATAACGAATGCCACTAAAGAAAAACTATGCCAACTTTGGGCAGCAAAACAAGTGCTAATATAAAGTGAAAAACTGAAGGCTATCCACTGTACTTGAATTCGTGAGTACCTTGAGCCGTATTATGGTATCGTAGGGATACAACTGGGTTTGGGACTACAATGAGAAACAATAGCTGATTTATTGACATATCATTGCTACGTAGTCATGTTACCAAGCAATAAAAGATGCAAAAACAGACTGTCAAGGCTCAATATCAACTAGCAAATTCCCAGTCAAACTCAACATCGAAGATTTATATTTTAGAATTGAATTGGACAATGATCACGTCCTTGAATATGCCTGTTGATTTTTTAAACCAGGGACCCGCTAGATGTCGTCCGTAAATGATATTTCCAATTTGGCCAAATACATAGACAGCCCCTCTATCTTGGCACCAATTTTCATTTTGACACTCCATTTAGGTCATGTTCCACTCCAACCCCATTTCTTTTGTGTTATTTTAACGCAAAAGGCTGACTTGTCAAATTGGTTGAGTTTCCTCCCTTGATAAGCGCGTGAGACTTTAAATGCCCACCCTCCTCCCCCATTATTTCTTCCATCTCCTCTTCCAAATAATTCTTAGGATATGTTTGGCACGCAAATTAAGGAAAATAACTTCTCAAGAGTATTCATAAATAATTAGCATAATAGATTCCTGACCACTTAAACTTGTAGGGCTTTTGAAAGCCGATACACAAACTTTGGACTTTCCCATTTGAACACTCGAACTCATGATTCCCTTAACTAATAAACACTTCTGACCCTTGAGCCTATACGCGTGTATTACACATACACAGACGTGTCCATTCAGTCAGCAAATGATCCATCCAGTCAGCAAATGACCAATGCGATTGTTACACGTCAAGGGTGCGAAAACAAACCCCAACTGATTAGGGTCCCCCCTCTTTTAATCAATAGACCGACCAAAATCAGCCATGAACTTCCATAAAATCCACCATTTTTCACTTCTAACAAAATTCATATAATCCATACCCCAATTACAAGTCAAAGAATGGATGAGCCACCTTCTAAAATTCCGTCGAGGCAAAAAAGAGCCGGCGAAACTATGTCAAAGAAGAACACAAACGGTGAAATCCAAAAGAGAGAAGAAGTCGGACTGCGTAATTAGAAATTTTCACCCAAAATTCGTCATTTTTTTATTGTCTTTCTCTTTTCTGTATCTGTCTTCCATTTTGAGAGAGGGAATTAATGTGAAAGAAAAGACTGATAGAAAAATTTTGATAAAATTTATTGTTTTTCTTTGTTTTTCACCATTGCTGCGTAGCTTTGGAACAAACAGATGAAGAAGCGGGGAAAGATTGGAGTGGGGGAGAAAGAAAAGAAGGAGGGGGGGGGGGGAGCCAGAACCCTACCGATAAATCCTCGCCAAAATCAAACTCCAAAACCAACATCCAATCCTTCAAGCAGGATTCATCATCTTCTTCGGCTTCCAAAGCACTAACCGGCGAGCAAAAAATCGATGATTTAAACCTTCCGCGACAGGAGGTGATTCGCCGCCTTAGGTTTCTGAAACAACCAGTGACTTTGTTCGGAGAAGTTGATGTGGCGAGGGGAATAGGGGTTTAATGATTTTGGAGCAGGGGCTTATTTTCTTTCTTTTTCTTTGTATTTTTTTTTAAAGATTTTTTTAATAAAAATTATTGTAGTGACGCGCTTAGTTTAGGTGATTTGCACATACTTTGTCCATATCACCTCTGTCACTGCCACATGTGCATGGTCAACGATCAAATATGTTTATTAGTTATCACATATACAAGTTTGAGTGTTCAAATGGGAAAGTTCAAAGTTTGTGTATTACGGCTTTCAAAAGTCTACAAGTTTAAGTGGCCAAGAAGCCATTACGTCTAAATAATTTAGATACAATAAACATGAAGCCATAAATTTTTGAACCAACAACCTTCCGAACCCACAAATTTTATAAACTTCCGAAACCGCGAACTTTCGAACTCGTAAACTTTATAATTTCTAAACCCGTAAACTTCCAAACACATAAACCTCCGAACNAACTTCTCAAGAGTATTGATAAATAATTTAGATACAATAAACATGAAGTCATAAACTTTCGAACTAGCAGTCTTTCGAACCCATAAATTTTATAAACTTCCGAACCGCTAAACTTTCGAAACCGCGAAGTTTCGAACCCGTAAACTTTATAGTTTCTAAACCCGTAAACTTCCAAACACATAAACCTCCGAACTCATAACTTTGGAACTTGTAAAATTTCGAACCTATAAACTGAAAGATGAAAAAACTAAAACTGAAAATATATAAAAAAAATAAAATAAAAATCGCAGGAGGGTGTTGCAAGAAAAACAAAAAAAATAAAAAGTTAAAATTACAAAAAAAAAAAAAAGTTCTTTTCTTGTGCAGGAAGTGGGGTGGGGGTAGCCGACAATGATTAAAAAACAGGTGTCCAAATCTAATTGGATGGTTGTTACACATTAGAAGCAAGTATAAATACGTGCTATATTTTAAATGGGATAAAAGTTTTTGTGTTAAAATGACACAAAAGAAATGGGGTTGGAGTGCCAAAATGGAACAATACTGAAATGAAGTGCCAAAATGAAAATAGGTGCCAAAATAGTGGGGCAGTCTATGGCCTTCCAATTTATTGAAGCCATTTCTTATGGAGAGCTTATGCAACTTAAGGATTTCATGATACAGGAGAACAGAAAAGGAAAGGGAGATCAAGAATGGAGTAACGTATGGGTGCTGGAGTATTGAAGTTCCAAATGGTTGAGACAAATAAAGCCAATAAATATAAGAGTGGCAAGAGAGATCAAGCCATTCTGTAATTAATTCTTCGATGTTGTAACATCTTATAAGATAAACGAACATTTCTTTTGAAAAACAAAATACAAATTTGTCTTACCTATTGCCTTCTTCTGATTAACCTTCGTACTTTTTATACAGACAATACGGGCTACAAGATTCTAACAACAATTTACTCAACTCATGGCACCTCTCTCTTTATCATACTAATAAAAAATTTGTGTCTTGCTTTACTCTGTCTTGTCTTCTACCTCATCACCATTAGGGAACCCATCGTTACCCAGTGTTGGCCTCACTTCAGGTTGGCTTCTAACATCCTTTGGCAGAGGGGAGGGCTTTATGAGTGTCAATGTAACGTCCTTGTCGAACTCTTCACCATCATCGGAATAGGCATATCTGTTATTTACGCATATAAAATAAACCAATGAGATTATAACACCAGAAAAGAACGAATATTTCCTGAATTAGGTTCCATTGTAAGGCCAACTTTTATCATAATAAAGACTCGCTCTTTTGATATTTTGAGGAAAACAAAGAGATGACGTGAGATGGTTCGAACAGAATGATTCAGGATTTGAAAGTTTTCCAAGTACAGGAAACGATAATAAATGAAGGTTTGGATCCCATTTTCTGGTTTCTAAGAAACCCAAAATATTCAGCACCAAATAACAATCTACTTATGTCAACATTTGGCATGGATACCCTGTTCAAATGCAGATATGATGAAATGACAGTGTAAAATAGTGCATCAAGAGCTTTTATCATAATTATTCTACTATCAGGCTGTTAGAACTCTGTAAAATGCATATACATGCATAATAAGGTGGAAGTAGGGTAATACCTCATGGAGTTTTGAGATGGTGCCCAAAGAGCGCAGATTATGCAAAGGAGAGAGAAAGATAGTACTTGCCAGAAGGCAGGAATAATCCAGGCATTTTGCCATCGCTCATTGTACACATCAGTGGACTTGAAGTATAGCTGCCAAAAGGGGAAAAAATGGTTAATGCTTTGTGCTATAATACAATAACAGGAAACAGTTGTGAAACTTAAGAAACCTATGTCTGATGTAGTCAGAAGAATATAAGACTGATTACACTCAGTTTCTAGTAGGTGTCCTTTCTCTTGAACGTACCACATGGAGTGCCACAACCCAAGTCCAACTTAAATTGAGTTGAGGGAAATGGCAATCGAAAGAGACTATAGCTTGTCGAAGTTTCTTTCTTCACTAGCCAAAGAAGAATTCAGGGGGAAAACAAAATTTTCATTTATGATGCTTTGACACATTTACTTGGCCTAATTATGCTTGTACTTTCCAAATTTATTGGAAATTTAGGTCCCCTCTCCAGAGGAATAAATTGCTCCCCAAATTTGGTGGATTAGACACGTTTCTCTGTTTGGTATTTCATAATTCTGCAAAATTCGTGCTGTTCACATCAAGCAGACCAGTTGACAATAAGGTCCTTAACCCCTTTATTAAGTCGAACTATTGGAAAAGATGATCCGAGTGTGTCAGCAGTGGGCTCTTTTCTGAAAGAACACAAGCTAGGAACAGGCAACAAAGATACTTGACAACAGAAACTAAATGAAAGAACCAGCCTCATCTTGTAGAAATTGAAAATTACCTCGTAGCACGTCCATCCAACAGATACAATAACAGCGACGACCAATGCATTTGTGAACTTCCGGTAAATGTCTAATTTGGCCAACAACCTTCTAGCCTGTCAGATCCCAAATCCGCAACTGAATTAGGACTAATAGAGCCTAAATTGAATGATAGTAATAATCGAATGACGTCATATCATGATCAACCCCAATCTCAAACGCTACAAGATAATGAAAAGAAAAAGCCTTCCTTTATTGCAAGAATCAGCTGCAGACCAGCGTATCATTCACCATGCATATGTAGATACAGAGTGAAGGGATCATAAGTAATCGACGAACCAAAACATGCAGCACTCAGCTAATTCTTTTTCGTATTTTAATTAAATAAAACTACACCGACCAAAAGGTCACCAGCACATCTTTTTTAACAAACTTCATGATTGCAATAATATTTAACATAACGTAGAGCTACTTAGCTTAAGAGCCACAAGTATTTTAACACAAACCCATACGATGAGAATGTGAACTCCTATCACCTATAGATCTCTGCTCAGGCAATAAGACCTGAAGCAAGTAAGAAGTCCAGAAACAAAAACCTTCTCTAACCTAGCAATTGGCAAGCAAATGGAATCAAAGTGAAACAGAAGTCACCAATGTACCTGAAGCTTATTCAAAGTTGCTGACAGGGAGGTGAATATCCAAAGGATAAAGAAAGCATCCAAGAATGCCACAGGAAGTACGAAAAATATCCTTGCTTTTCCTGAGAAATCACTGACTGCACCAACATTTTCTACCAGTTCAAGCACTTCAGAAGCCAAAAAGAAAGTTCCTCCAAGCAAAAGGACCTTCGATGTGAGACCACCTAAAGTAGGTCTAACGACACCAAAGCCCATAGAGACCATCAGAATGACCAAACGTGAAACTGTGCGCTTTACTGTACCAAAGGTCACAGCCCATACAGTGGTACCAGTGGGCCTGACTCCAGTTTCATTGAATTCAGCATAGTCAAAGTACCAAAAGGCCATTTCAAGCATGCCCAATGTTATCACGAGTGTAATACAATTTTGTAGAGGAATAACTTCTCTCCAGAATCTTGCATACTGCGAAAACCAAAAGATCCCAAGTAACACGAATGCAAGAGACATGAACCCATAGAAGTTCATAAGGGGGGCCATTCTACCAGGTAGGTAACCAGTAGGATTCTTCCATATGGTTTTCCCTTCAACATTAATATCCTTAAGATATGGTTCACAGTGAATAAAATACACATTATACATCCCAGTTTTTGTAATAGGGATCGATCTTGACTGCAGTGCTACTTCAACCTCATCAGTGCTGAATGAGGCACTAAAAACTTTAGGCCATCCAGGATTATTAGCAGATGGGCGGTGAATAATTTGCCCTTGTGTACAAACTCCAAGTTTTGCAAGATCTGCTGTGCAACAAACAGCTCTTTGGCCACCGTAGGCTGAGCCCCCAATTGACTCTCGATCATCCACCTCAAAAACAATTGCATGAATTGGGTCTGAACTAAAGTTTGAGAATTCTTTTGGCCTCCGAAATACAATCTTTTCAAACCTGTTGAAAATGAGAAAGGTCAGAAACTTTACAGACTACTACTGACAAAACCGGGTAAAAACATGAAGCATTATATTCATTTCCAAAGTCTAGCATGAATCAGAAAATGCATAAAAGCAAAAGCAAGCTCATTAAATGCCATTGAGCATAATTTTGGAAAACACAAACGTTACTCGATCAACGAAGCTTTGGATCGTCTGTATGAATCCTTTATTTCCATCTAGCTCTATTCCGCCCAAACAGAGTACGAACTACTTATTAATTTAGTGAGAAAGCACAATTCACTTATCTTCTTTCATCCAACTATAGATTCCATGCATAAGCTGTGAATTAACAAGGATAATTCAACATAGATGGTTAAACTAGGTATGCTTTTAGCAGCAAAGGAAAATTTAGCTTTAATAGTAGCAGTGGATTTAGGCTTTTCTGATCAATATATTCATCTTAGAGTGAATGTAACTACACAAATCCAAATTAGGCAGAACTTTACTTCTAATACTTAAGAAAAAGGACAAATTGATTAAGTTTGATCCTCGAAAATAAACATAAATATTCATTCTGGAGAATGAAATTAACAATTTTGACATAGATCTGGATATATTGCATTCTGGAGAGAGTGATTACCGAATGAAAGAGTCAGAGGAAGGAGAATCAGTGAAGTTAGGAGTAGAGGCGTAAATTCCTTCGCTGCCACCGTGGACAACAAATGCATTGCCTTTGCTCACGAATTTCTCCCCATTATAGTCATGCACTGAAGCTTCTGTGAAATGGAGCAAACATAACCACAGTAGGATTACTCCTGAAGCTCCAGCTGACTTCGACCACCGCATTTGCCCAATTGAGAGATCAGCTCAGCTCAGCTCAGCCTGGAAAATAAGTGAGAGTAGATCTGCTGTTGCTAGAAGAAGTAGGGGAGATAGAGAGAGAGAGAAATCTAGAATGGACCCACTAACGACTACGTATCACTCCCTCGTTGAAGTCAAAGAATCGTTTAACAGAGATTAATAGAGTATTCTCTTTCAATTTTCATGGTAAAATTTTAAAAAACTTTAAAAGATTATTTTTTAAAATTCTCGCTTCAAATTTAAAAACACCCAAAATTATATTTATGAACACAATTTTAACTTTCAAATACCATTTTCACGTGGAAAAAAAATATACTTTTTCCAAAATTTTACAATTCTTATGTACATACGCCTTACCTCCAATTTTCACATGACATTTAATAGCACAAGATTAAAGGATATTTTAATTATTACACATATTTTAGCTTAAGACACAAAGATTTAAAGTTAAATTGAAACAGAAGAGATACTACATAACATATGAGTTATCACTTCTTTATTTAAGTATAATATATTATCATCATACCAAATAAAAAAATAAATTTATATATATATATATNTCTCATACTTTAAAATTACTACTCCCTATGTCCACTTTAATTGATTTGTTGGCTTTTTTTTTTGTGGTCCGTAATATTTAATTTTTTAGATATTAAGAAGAAATTTACTTCTTTTTTCTAAAGTTGTTGTCACGATCCAAATCTAGTTTAGGTCATGATGGTGCCCAACATCATTGCCAGGCAATCCAACAATGAACAATCTAGTAGTTTTCATTTTTAATAAGTTTTTCAAGCAACTAACTTTCCTTAAATTTAAAGAGTTTAATGAATAACGAATTTTTAAAGCAATCAAAATGAAAGCAGTTAAATGAAATTATCATCATAGAAGTACAACCCAAAATCATAAGTCTACTAGTGTGTGCCAAGACCCGGTGTCACAAGTGTATGAGCATTCTAATAGAATATACAAAAGAATACTAGTCTACTGTCTGAAATGAAATAGACAGAAAAATACAACAAAAGGAAGACTTCGGCTGTTGCAATACGACTCGGAAGGGCAGCTCACCGTATAGTCTCGTAGAGGGGATCAAATATGCGCATCGGACTGGTAACCATATGTACCTGCCTTAGATCCTGCACAATTAAATGCAGAAGTGTAGCATGAGTACATAAATATTATGTACCCAGTAAGTTTTCAGTCTAACCTCGAAGAAGTAGTGACGAGGGATCGACTTTGACACTTACTATGGGCTAACAATAATATATCAAAGTTTTATACTAAGCATGGATTTCATGAATAATACTGAAAGCTCAATAACATGAAATAATAAATTCTTCTTTCGTAAATATTAAATCCCGAGTTTAGTTTCATCATTTAACAGTTTGTATCTTAAGACATTTAAGCAATATCAATTATGAATAGTTCCAAAGATTTATCATGCGGAAATTATATCGAGGTCGTACAGTCCGATCTAACATAATATTTAAACTGTGCACTGTCGAGGGTCGAATGACACGAACCATAGATGCATTTATCGGCTACCAAGGCGTTCAGCCCGCTCCACAAATAGAAAATATTTCAAGTACACAAATTCTCATTTATAGTCAAGTGTTCCATTCGCAACTTCAAGTAAGTGGAGTTAACCTTTTATAATTCTTTTATCAACTTTCAATATGACTTAAGCAATTACATCAACAAGTAGGGGTACAAATATTTCAAGTATAGCATGGTATGGGTCCTAGACTATCCATACAATAGCATAATTAGTAGCTACGTATGTACGAGGTGAGGAGCACATATTAGTTATAATTCACCTATGGGATTAATTCCCTCTTACAAGGTTAGAAAAGAAACTTACCTCATCTCAAGGCCTACTTTGCGGTCCAAGATTGTGCTCAAACCCTCAATTTGGCGCCAAATGACTCGAAGCTAGTCAAATGTTATATAAAATAATTAATGCATGTTTAAAAGTTCATATCCTAACTATCAAAGTGATTCCCAAGCCTATTGAAGAATCCCTAAAATTCACCCCAAGCCCACGTGCTCAGATTCCGGAAATTTTTGAAAAAGGTTGTTACCCATAACCCTATGAACTCGAATATATGATTTTCACTAAATTCCATAACCAATTTCGTGGCTAAATCTCATTTTTATCAAAAACCTAGGTTTTCACCTAAACCCATAATTTTCACTAATTTACATGTTATAATCTGCCCTTAAACTATGTATTTAACTCACAATTGGTAGAAATCACTTACCTCCAAGTTCTAGGTGAAAAATCCTATCAAAAAGCTCCAAACATTGCTCAAAGAGTGAGAGAAATGTGTTAGAAATGGCTTATGTCCAGTATTAAATGAACCTTTCTACCCAGCGATTTTCGCACCTGCGGTGCCTTGGCCGCATATGTGATCACGCACCTGCGGCAAGATCCTCGCAGGTGCGCATTTCCCTTACCTGGCCAGGCTCCGCATCTGCGGACAGAAAGGGTTGCTTCTGCGAGCCTTCCGCTCCTGCGACCACTGCATTCCGCAGATGCGCTAAAACTTCCGCACCTGCGGATGGCTGGACTGCCCTCACTGTTTCGCTTCTGCGGCTCGTGGCTCACACCTCCGGCTGGCTAAGCGCAGGTGTGATTATGACAGCAACTGGGAGCTTCAGCTGTTGCTCCCAATTTCCAACTTGGTCTGAGCCTCGTCCGATTGACACTCGGGTCCCCGAGGGCCCCGCCCGAATGTACCAACAAGTTTGAAATCATAAAACGAACTTGCTTGAACTCTCGGAATGCCCGAAACAACATTAAAACTAAGAGTCATACCCCAAAACCAAGTGAATCAAACTTATGAACTTCAAGTTCTTCAATTTACACCCAATGCGTCGAAACGTACTTAAACTACTCGGAATGACACCAAAATTTGTGTGGAAGTCTTAAATGACATTACAGAACTATTCCATATCTTAGAATTCTATTTGGACCTCGATATCACCAAAACCCGCTCCAAACCAAATTTTAAGAACTTCTAAAATCTTCAAAGAACCAACTTTCACTATTAAGCGCCAAAACACTCCGGGGTCATCCAAAACCCGATCCAAACATACGTCGAAGTCCGAAATCATCATATGAACCTATTGGAACCGTCAAATCCCGATTTCGAGGTCGTTTACTCAAAATATTGACCGAAGTCAAACTTAGCCCTTTTAAGGCCAACTTAAGGAACCAAGTGTTCTTATTTCAATCCGAACCCTTCCAAATACCGAAATAACCACCCCCTAAGTCATAAAATAGTAAGAGCACGTATGGGAAGTCTTATTTAGGGAACAGAATTCTAGAAAGCAAAACGAACGGACGGATCGTTACATTCTCCACCTCTTAAACAAACGTTCGTCCTCGAACGAGTTTAGATTCATACCTAGAGTGCTGAATAAGTGTGGATATCTGCTCTGTATGTCCTCCTCGGACTCCCGGGTTGCCTCCTCGACTGGTTGACCCCTCCACTGAACCTTTACCGCGAAAATCCTCTTGGATTTCAACTAGTGATCTTATCTAGCAACAATGGCAACTGGCTCCTCCTCATAACCCAGGCTCTCATCTAACTAAATAGTGCTTAAGTCTAACACATGTGATAAGTCGACGTAATACCTTCAGAGCATAGAAACGTGAAAATTGGATGAACTCTTAATAGGCTGGAAGGAAAAGTAAGCTTATAAGCAACCTCCCCAACTCGTCTCAACACCTCAAATGGACCTATAAACTTTGGGATCAACTTTCCCTTCTTCTTGAATCTCATAATCCCCTCCATCGGCGAGACTTTCAAGAGAACATTCTCGCCCACCATAAATGATGAATCACGTGCCTTCTGATCCGCGTAACTTTTCTGTCTAGACTGTGTTGTGCGAAGCTGCTCCTGAATCAACTTTACCTTTTCCAAGGCATACTTTACCAAATCAGTACCATATAACTTAGCCTCGCCGTGCTCAAACCACCCAATGAGAGAACGACATCGCCGACCATATAATGCCTCAAATGGAGCCATTTCGATGCTGGACTAATAACTATTTTTGTAAGAAAACTCGGCTAAAGGTAAGTACTGGTCCCACTGCCCTCCAAAGTCAATCACACATGCTCTGAGCATGTCCACTAGAATCTGAACTATCCGCTCTGACTGGCCGTCGGCCTGTGGATAAAATGTTGTGATGATCTCTACACGGGTCCCCAACTCACTCTGTACGGCTCTATAGAAATGTGAAGTAAACTGAGGGCATCTATCTGATATGATGGAAACAAGCACACCATGCAACCAAACTATCTCCTGAATATAAATCTGGGCCAACCTTTCTGAAGTACACGTAGTCACGACCGAAATGAAATCTACCGACTTGGTCAACCTGTTGACAATGACCCAAACTGCATCAAACTTCTACAAGGTCTGCGGCAACCTAACTACGAAGTCCATAGTAATGCTCCCACTTCCACTCTGGTATAGTCATCTGCTGGAGTAGGCCACCTGGCCTCTGGATACTTAACATGCTGGCAATTTAGGCACCTAGATACATACTCAACTATGTCTTTCTTCATCTCCCGCCACCAATAATGCTGCCTCATGTCACGATACATCTTCATAGCACCTAGATGAATGGAATACCGAGAACTGTGTGCCTCCTCTAAAATCCTCCCTCTCAAGCCATCGACATTAGAAACACATAGACGACCCTAGAGTCATAGAACACCATTGATAGAAACCTCCTTGGCACCACCCTGTAGTACCGTCTCTCTGAGGACCATCAAATGCAGATCATCAAACTGTCGAGCCTTGATATGCTCCAATAGTGAAGACTAAGCAACGACACATGTAAAAACTCATTTGGGCTCTGAAATGTCCAACCTCACAAGTCTGTTAGCCAAGGACTGAATGTCCCAAGCTAGTGGCCTCTCCTCTATTGAAATGAATACCAAGCTACCCATACTCTCTGCCTTTCTACTCAAGGCATCCGTGACTACATTCGCCTTGCCCGGATGATAAAGCGTGATGATGTTATAATCCTTCAATAACTCAAGCCATCTGCATTGCTTCAAATTGAGATCCCTTTGCTTGAACAAATGCTGCAAGTTGC